CAGAAGGCAAAAACGACACCCCCCCCCCCCCCCCACGCACACACAATTTTTATAGAAACTGTGTGTACGCATGTGTGTGTGTATTGTGTGTGTTTGTGTGTGTGTATCTGTCTGTGTCTGTGTCGTTTTTGCTTCCTGCAGACTTGGGGTTGGGTTATGTCTACTAAATGTAACACTTTCAGATGACCTAACTTGGAATGCTCATGTTAACACCATAGGCGTTAGCACTTATGCTTTATCCTACATTGTGTCAAGCTAACTGGTTATAACTTTTTCATGATATCTAAAATGGACTATGACAACTTAATTTGGTGGTATCATCAAGCATATCTCATTAACAAACTTGAAGCGGTTCAAAACAAAGCATCTCAATTCATATCCCGTGACTACTCACCGACGTCAAGCATAACTACGCTAAATTCAAATCGAGATATTTGCTCACTATAAAAAGGAACTAAACATGCTCGTCCTGTCATTCACCACGAAATCTACAGTTTCTCTCCTTCTTTTTGACAGCCTTACTGTAGACCACAGTCATACACCTCTTTGCGTCGTGACCAGAAGTTAAAAGTAAATTCTCTATTCGCGAGAACCAATAACTTTAAAATTCCCCGTTTTTCCCTAGTCATTTGAAGATTTGAATTCTCTCCCTGAAACAAGGGTGCTCGAAACTAACCAGGATAAATTCAGTGATATTTGCAAGGCACAGCTCGTTGAGTTTGGAATTAATAACTTTTCGTGGAAACGATTTTGGATTTTGAGGTGCATTGAAACAACTCAATAAATCTGCCATATCTATAAAGAAAATATTGAAACAAGGTTTTTTTTTTTTTAATCTTATTTAAATAAAATTTACCCACTGTTTCACATTTGAATAAAATAAATATCTCGAAGTAAAGATAGCATGCCTCACGCTTTTTCAATTGATGAAATCGTCCTGACTAGCTGGCAATGTGACATCAGTAAAAAGGCATATTTTTGTCCTCCTCGCTGCTTCTGGCCTCTGCCCGTAGAATTTCAATGTAACGTATGTCAAAGAAACCAATGAATGATACAAAGTGGCTCCTTAAAACCTAATGTTCCTGCATCGCTAAAGCTATTACAGCCTATACTGTTCCCGAAATATAAAATGTTTAAAATTTCCCAACTTTAGCACTTTTTATTAGTTTTTACACTAGGCCCGTTAGCCGATTGAGTAATGAATCAGAGGTCACCGATTAATTGGTTAGCGATTGTTAATCGCTGCATAGACCTATAGTACATATATCTCAAACATTTTACTTTTCACCACAACCCACCCCAACTTTTTACAGATATGCTTGCTGAGATATTCGTAACCATGTGTCATACCATGGCATCGATATGATCGATAAACAAAACAAAAAATACCTTTACAAAAAAAAATAGAAGGGGGATAAAGCAAATTCCGATGTAATTTCCCTTCCCTTCGCCATTTTATATGCAAAAGACACGCTTGCATCAAAATCACAAGGACTTGCTTGAATTAAAATGCCCACCAACACGCTTGGATTAAAATGTCAAACAACTCGCATTAAGATGTCAGACATGTTGGCACGTTTACTTAGCTACAGGCATTGGAATACCTGCAGAAAATCAATTTACTATGCTGACGATAATTCCAGGAGCAGAACTATATTTCACTCCTGACAATACCTGGAAATTCCAATACCAATAACAATGGAGCGCATCTTAATTGGCGTCCTTATAGACAGGGAGGCTGAATAGTGGTGTTGAACCTGGGGTTACCCTGATTCCTGGTGTGAGATTATTTGGTCCTCTAGTGTGTACGGTCTGTGCAGGTGATTCGATTCAACGAGAAAAAAACAAAACAAAAAAAAAACATTCTTATTCGCCACTTCTGACAAGGATATGTGCTCACACGCCATAGCTCTTCAGTGTTTTAGAGAGAGAGGGAGAGAGAGAGAGGGGGAACAGCAGAGGCAAGAATTTTTAATTGTTCAAAAGTACTATTTCGTGAGTATCGCCACAGGCATACCAAATTCACGCTTCCTCGTGCAAAGGCTGTTTTTATTTCCCTTCGATGCCCTCTGTTGTTATGAAAACAGCGAATGCATAAATGTTTAAAATTATTTCGTGACCGCATATCGAACTTCACTAAATGAACATCGTGGTGTTTCTGGTTAGCTGCAACGAGTGCCTACGTTGTATGGTGATATGAGGCAAAACATGGAGAGGGGGAGGGGGCACTTGTACCGACAAAACGCTGAAGCCTGCACTATTGTTAAAATATTGCAGGCTCCAGGCGGTCAGTAAAGAAGGTGGTATTGGTGTAAGTGTTTTATTTCGAGTGACCCCTTTCTAAGGTTGTGCAGCGAACAACTTTAACCAATTAATCAGTGAAATTTAATCAACTGATTGATTAATCGGTTACACCGTCCACTCTAGAATCTGACAAATGTGGAAAAGTATACTGCGAAATTGTAACATTACACATCTTGGAACACAACTGCAAAGCGTCAGCGATGCAGAAAAAAAAAAGTTTTATCGAATGTATTGGGATTTTTACGTACATTTGAATGACATGGGCTGATGGAAGAAGTAGAGAGGACAGTAGGAAATGTGAACTTAATTTTTACTGAGGTCAGGTTGCCAGCTACTAAGTACTGGAAAAATAGCTGAAAAATGTGAGATGCGTGTTGTTTACGTTGAAATATTTATTTGGTTGAAATCACCCTATCTTAGCTGGGGCCTCGTTCAGGGTGTAATTTTCCTGCTCAAAATAAACGTCGTTGCTAAATGAAAGAAAGTGGTTGTCCTGTGCTTGTCTTCCGTGTTTTATTCTTTCGATTTTAAGTATTCATGTTCAACTCGCTCGCTTTCACCAGTACCAATATAAAACAGCAGACTTAAAAAAAAAAAAAGGCAAACGGTGCTTTCGGTAATTCCTCGTTAATTACTGTGGGGCAGTATCAAAATGGAAACTTAACACAAAGCCAAATAAGAACAAACACTTTGCAAGTGAGAGCTATAAGCAATGAATATAGTGTAGCTTTTAGACGCGTTTTCTTCATACACATTTAGTATACAAGACTACAAGAAGTTCGCGGTTGTGTGTAGCTAGAAATAATGGAATAATAATGGAATGATTAAATTCTTGATTTTGTGAGAGAGCGAAAAACATTTGTAATGCACCAAGTCCGGTGCATTAAAAAATTTTGAGTTGTGCGGAAGTGTGAATTATTGCCTGTGAAAACCCCATGGTGTGCACTTTTGACCCAGTATAGCTGCGAAAGAAATGAATCCGGGATTAATTTATTATACAATTGACCTGTAGGTTAACCGGTTAATTTCACGCCCCCACCTTTTTGTTTTAGTTGTGTCCTCATCGAGTCACCCTTTTCATTATATCTTTTTTCTTAAAATTATATTGTCTTACATGAAGGCAATCGACGGTTGAATACTGTGGTACTACTCGAGATAACATTTGCAAAAGGCTACGAAGATATGACACGTGACTGGTAGAGCGTTGTGATGGCACGTGGAAATAATCCGGGCGTATATAAGCAATATATTACACCCAGGTTCTGGTGATATTCAGAGCTTCACCAGCCCTTGTACCATAGCTTCTCTGTATATGTACGACGAATAGACTTGTAAGATAAGGCTGCTTACCAAATAGCTACTATGTAAAATTATCATTGGAAACTCCAAGGTTTTTAGTAGTATACGAGTCTGATCCAAGTGGACGTTGGAACGAGTGTAATACTTTGGTTTCTATCACAAGATATATACATTTGAAGGCTAACTTAGACAGCAGCATTTGTACAGTGTACAGATCGATACTCTCGTGGTCAGGCTATAGTTGCGAAAAGGTTGCATCGAGTGTGCATGTACGCTGTGATTAAGCCTCTTGAAAACAAGATGGATTTCTAAGGAAGGACTGACAATCTAGGCAACAGTACAATTGCATATTTCGCCTATCTGCCATGCTAAGACAACGAAGTTATGAGAGGTGCTGGACGTTGAAAACAACAAAAGCTCCCTGACGTCATAATGTGATAATCCTCACCAAAGGAGGAGACGACATTTATACTGACTTTGCAAGTCGGCACAATTTTAGGTATAAGGTGGACGTTTGCGCGTGTGTGCACAATTGTAAACATGGCTTTCAGACCGCTGTCACGCCTCGGACCATATGGAAAGCACGTGACATCCCAAGCTTGCCACAGCAATGTTCACGCGTGTGTTGCACGTGCTTTCGCACCTTCGGGTGATTGGCTAAGACGTCGCCGCTTGCAGCAGTAACTTTTTTGTAAGTTGTAACTTGATTTTCGAAGCTGTGTCTCTAGACAACCCCCGCATATCAGCATCCGTGCCATGCCTGTGTGTTTTCAAGTGTTCAGATCGGCCGTGCAACCGCTGCAAAAGCGCTTAGTGCAACGCGTCTCAAAGGCCGCAGTATCCGAACCTGTTATCGTTTCACCTCGAACCAATCCCGGCGATTCGATGCTTGACAGCGTCGCAACGGTAGCAGCGAAGCAGTTGGGTACACAACGGGGCAGGTATATATTAGCGGCAGCTGCAGACACGTACATCGACATCGGGCAAACCTGCGTCGACAGAGCCTTCCCACGGACGCTTCGCCGACGCTCTCTCTGTTCTGCCCGGTGGCAATGACAGCGCCGGCGCACGCGGCTCTCTACACCTGCGTGGCCCCGAAAGCAGCGAAGTTGGCGACGTGTCGCGTCTCTTCGAGCGTCGCGTGCATGAGGCAACATCTCGAGCAATCCAAGCAGCGCGGCGGCGGCCCCCGAAGTTGTGGTGCGCAACCCGCGCCGCGTTACGTCACTCCGGGTTCAGGGGCCGTCGCGGCGGCGGAGGGCGGGCAGGAAGGAGCCCGCAGCGCGAGCTCCGCGTGCCCGTCGTTCCCAAGCGTGCGCCCATGCGTCGGCGACCGCGTGGAAGCGGCGAGCGCGCGTGTGCCCCGGCGCGACGACGGCGTGCAAGCGGAGACTCACCGGAGGCGGACGCGGCCGTGGACGCGGCGGCGGCCGTCGACGCGGAGGGCAGCTGTCCGGGGGACTCCCGCGCCATGATCGCGGCGATGGAGAAGTCCGTGGCACGCGGGCCGGTCGTGGCCGTCGACGGTGGCGGCGGCTTGACGGCCTCCTCTTGCATCATGAGCACGTCTCGCTCGACAGACAACAGCATCGGGATGGAGTCGGTCGTGGCGGCCGCGCACTGGTCACGGGAACATGTGCTCGCGGGCGAGCCGCGTGCTGGGCCGCGGGCGCGCGACGACGCCGCCGCTGGCTTCCCCGTTGTCGTCGTGGGCGCTCGCTGTGCTGGCGGGGGGGGCCTCGTCGCCGCGATTAATTGCGCCGGGACACCCGTTGTACGTTCGCGCTGGACGCAGCAAAAAGGGACTCTGGGGTAGCCGAGTGCCAGCGACTGGCCGGGGGCGCCGCCGCCGAGACGCTGCTTCCGGACCACCCCGCCGGGTCGGGAACGCCCCCTCAGGGGGCGGGACCCCGGCGACCAATGGGAAGCGGGCACCGCTCCGATCCACCGCCCAGGGCAGCCGGCGACACCTGGGGACGCCGTCGGGAACCTGCCGGTCGCCGGGGGCTCGCCGACGTGCTCGGCGAGGCGCGAGGGGGGCGGAGACCGCCGTGCGGGAGGCGGGGCCCCCCGAGGCTGCCGACGGCTGACGCCAGGCATGGCCGCCGCCGTCTTGTTGACGTCCCACCTGCGAGGGGCCAGGACCTCGAGGTCGCTCGGGGCTTCGCGGACGGGACGCGCAGGCGCAGTGCGCCAGTCGCGCGCCGGCGCCTTCGTTTGAACTCGCTGTCGGGGGAGACCGGAGCACGGCGGAGGGTCTTCGCGGTCGCCGCACCTTGGGGGTTCCGGACCTCAGAGTCGAGACGTTTGCGCGGCCGGAAGTGACGGTTTCCAGCCTTTTCGGCCGGCGGTAGGAATTTTCCAGGCACCGATATCTTCGTCCGGAGAAAGTTGTCGTTCATCGATATTGCTCGCGTGATTTGACATCGGCGTTATTTTTGAGGAAGACGGAAAATCCAAGATGCATATATTTTTCCTTCCGGCTGCTAATTCTGCTCAGGAATTCAAATACATCGCCTCAGGGCAGTGGCTCACACGAGAGGGGTCGAGGAAACCACGGCAGGCCCCGAAATTTTAGGGAGGTGGGGAGGAATTTAAAGTCCCTCGAGCATTCTCTTTTTTTTTAGGCATCAACACCGACATTTCTTTCTTTTATTTTTATTTCTTTTAATGCACACAATTAGTGGATTTCCTTCCCCCGCCTCTTCCATGTGCATTTTATCCAGCACTCTACTCATATGTCGCACCCACATTGAGTGCCCACAGCACTCCTGCAGCACAAGTTCAGGAGATCCTCGGGTCATGATGCATTTTTGTTCGTGCAAATCACCCCAGATGCCCTTGCCTGCCGTCTGTCTCTTCGCGTGTGCCTGCGAGAGCAGTCCTTTGGCCCATCAACGAGCTCTACTTTGGACTAGATGACTCGGAAGTCCCTTGAGCAGCACATCCATATACTCACTTTGAAGAGGAACGTAAAAATGGCTTTGCTAATTTTCCAAAAAATGTAACGGCTAAAAAAAAAAAAAAAAAAAGGATGACTTTTTTGCGCCAAAAACACCAAAAGGCTTCCTCGTGTTTTCGTGTTTTAGGAATTTATTTTTCGTCAGATTCGGAGGGTGCTTTTTCAGTTTATTTCTTAACAAAAAATCGGAGGTTATCGGAGTTTATTTTTGTTCGATTCCCTATTCTCCGAAATTCGGTGCTTCACTTTGCGGTGTTTCCTATTTTTTTTTTTTTTTTAAAGCAAAAAAAATTATTTACGTGTAAAGGTGTGCCAGATTGAAAAAGCCTGACTGTATCAATTAATATTTCTTCAGCTCGAATTGGCGTTGGTGCCATTCAGGCACGTAGCCAGGATTTTGTTTCGGGGGTGGGGTGCCGTCTATGACTGCATGCTGTATGAGGGGGAGGGGGAGAGGAGGTCCCAGCAAAATGGAAGGTTCCGGGGAGAGGGGGGGGCCATGGGCCCCCCCCCCCCCCCGCCCCGAGGCTACGTGCCTGGTGCCATTGCCATTGTCAATGCAAATATGTTCCACGACAAAAGTTGGGAACAAGTGTTACTTCGATAAACGTCGGTGACTTAAGATCAATAAACTCTTTTAGTCAACCTATAGAATGCGGCTGTGCTGGGTGGAGTGCTCCAGAGTGTAAAAAAAATTCAACTGCCCCCCCCCCCCCCCCCCCCTTTCTTATATAATCTCGATGGTTCATAGCGTTTAAAGGGGCGGTGCAACGATATTCAATTGGAATGTTTTTCACTTTACACGAGCTTACTGGCGCTTGTGGGACTCAAGGATACTCGCACGCAACGCCACTGGCCAAGAGACTCCTTTGCTGCGCTGAAATTTCGAGGACAAAACCGAGTGTTTTCATTCAATTTCTCCTTCGCAAAACCTGATGACGTAGCTGGGCGGGAGCAGTACCGCCCAGTGACGATATTTGAATGCGGCTCATAGATTGGACCCGAGCATTGCGTGGCACTAGATTTCGGCTCGTGATAATCGATAGCTCGAGAAGCATTCGGGTAGTGTCCTGTGTCCAATCGCTGCAGTGATGACAACAGCCGAACCATAACAATGTCTTGAACTCAGCGCGTGTCCTGTGCCTTGCCAACAACAGCGCATGGCTATGATCAACATTGGCGGCATATAATCGGCTCCAGATCACGTGGCCACTTGTTCTGGCTGCGAGTTGAGAAAGTAAACTCCGCTTGTATTTTTTTTTTTTTTTCTGCGACTTCGATTGCGTGTGGTGAAACACGAACGGGTATTTCACACGTCATTAACGTCAGGAATCCGGAATCCGTTCTAAGCGGTATTTGCGCAAAATACAAAAATCTTTGCATCGCCCCCTTTAATGTTATAAAACCACAACCCCTTTCTACTCTGAGAAGCGCAAATAGTATGGCCCAAACTTGAAACCGAAATAGTGGATATTTGTCGTGACCAGAAATTAGAATGACCTCTTGTCCCGAATGAGCCTTGACGAGATAAGCGATAAGAACCCTTTTGTCAATCGTCCGAGGGTTCACAGAAAACTGGGGTAGCATTTTCTCAGGACCATTGACCTGTCCGCTGAAAAAACTTCATTGTAAAATACCGTTTTTTTTTTCTCTATGTTTTATGTTATGTTTTTTATTTCTTCTTTGCAATGGTACATTGAACTTTGGAGCTTATCGGATGAATCCTAATTGAGCAAAATACGACGTGCAAGTGTTTTTCCTGGTTTTCTTTTTTTTTAGATTTATCTGAAAACGCGGAATTCTAAGTTTCAGATACGAGCGAATTTGAATCGGTGAGGGGAAAAAATACTAAAGTCAGGAGCGACTTCTCGTCTGGCGGTGCGAAAGATTGTTGTCATTCAAAAATCTCTATAGGATGAACAAATCTTACAACTTCGTATAGAAATATTTCCATCTTTCGTCTTCACTGTCATTTATGGGTGCGAGTTATGTTTTATCACGTGCTTTCATTGAGTTTGGTCACCCGTAGAGTTAGATAAGTTAGATAGTAATGTGGTCGAGAACTGAAAAAACAACCAGGGGCATGACTTAATCTATTTTTTTATTATTATTATTAGTATTTGGATTAATCCTTTATTAGGAAACACAATCGTCGAATTCGGAAGATGTGAAAAAAGCACATAATCACTTTAGTTGCTTGTTATGCAATGAAATCGTATGTGCTTGAGTCCTTGCTTCTTTAAGGTCGATCTAATTGCCTTGTATCGATATTTGCGCCAACGTCAGGCACGTAGCCAGGGGGGGGGGGGGGGGGCATGGGGCCGGGCCCCCCTCGAAATCTTCCATTTTGCTGGGACCATCCTCTCCCCCTCCCCCTCATACAGCATTTTGTCATGAGCATCCCCCCCCCCCCCCCCCCCCCCCCCCCCCCGAAACAAAATCCTGGCTACGTGCCTGGCCAACGTTATTCGTAATACCAATCGCCCGTGACTTTCTCTGTGCATGTGTCACGTTCGCGTTTATGACTTAGATTTCTGCTCGTGCACCAATATTTGTTCGTGTATCTTTTCTTTCATACGGGTCCTCGGCGAACGTGAAGTAGGCGACTTTAAAGCACAATATGAATGTCTTTCCTGGGATTCTGAAGCCATGCACTTTGAAACATTTTCTATAGGTTACAAAATAACATTAACTAGCCAAATGCAGTTAAACTTTTAATTTTCTTCCGCTCTTTTTACTTCTCCTTTGTGTTTGTTTTTAATTAGTTCAGCGTTGGCAACCCCCCTGAATAAACTTCCGCGCACGCCATGTGCTCTCGCTCGTTCCATGATGCCCGGTGGACCTTCTGAGCAATGTATTCTTGAAAGGCAATATACGTTTCACGTCAATCGTATTTGAGTATATGTCTGGGTTTCCTCGACAGCCACCCCGTGATGGGGCCAAGGTCCGTCAGAGGCCAATCTGCGTAGCTCTCTGAAACTAGCGTCTGAACTCTCAGGTTCAACACCCAAATTTGATTCGACTTTTTGTCGTATTATTTTACGAAAAAGGTATACTAATAGGTGAGAATCCCATCCCATCATTTTTGGCAACATCGGTGCCAAGGAACAACTCCTTAAAAAGTGTTCCAAGCTCCGCATTACAGCGAAACTAAAACGAGTTCCAAGTTCTCCCCGCAACATACACCTACACAGCAAGAGTCCTTGTCTCTCTCACTGCAATTAAAGGCGCTTTCTCAAACGTGCACGGTGAACCAATTTGCTTCAATAACCCCACCTTGCATCAATAAATATGTTTTTTTGTTTTTTTTTAGATGGCGGTGGTGTCGATAATTTCGACCCGCGGTGCACGATCTAATGTTACCTTTGAGTAAGTTCAAGTCAACATAAACGCATAACCATATTTATATTTATTGTCGTCCTCACAAGTGTCGCTACTGTGTATGTTGCTCTTTTAGTTTTGCGCGCCACAATCGAATTAATTTGGAACTCACGCATGCTTCGATACAAAATATGACTTTCGTATATTGATCGGTTTGAACGAAATTCCTCCAAACGCCCTTTCGTAAACAATCGCCCCATCCCGTCACTATACTTCTCATCAGTCACCTTCACTTCATTTCAACGAAATAATCAGATTAAAAAAACAATCCACCCGTAGCGTAGGCGATTTATGAGGAGCAACGGATCTGCAGAAGTCATGAACGGAGAAAGGTTTTGTAAAAGAGCTTTAAAAAAAAAACAAAAAAAAACTATCTTTCATGCAGATTATACACTATATGCTGCGTCTATACATGAACACTATAGAATGTATGATACAGCGTGTTGACTCGATGCGGCAGTATTGCATCTGCGTTAACGCCTATAGTGTGTATAATATTGTCATTAATTGGGAGGCTG